TGGCAGGGGTAGGGGAACGGTTGGGCTGGGGGAGCTTAAAGGGCTTTTCCAACCCAAACAATTCCATGATTCTAAGCCCTGGGGACACGCTGATTAAAAACCTGGCCGGATGCAACCCCGCTCCCTTTGCTCCTCACTTAAAACCCCACCTGGGACTGGTTTACATCAACATCTTCACAGGGAACGACAGCAAATTAATAACTCTGTTCCCCAAAACACCGCTGATTTTCAACATCCTCTTTTCCCTGCGCTTCCAGGAACGGCGCTGCTGGCGTCGGCAAGCAGGGACAGGCTGATCCACGTCTTGAACGTCGACAAGAACTACAAGCTGGAGCAAACCTTGGACGACCACTGCTCCGCGATAACGTCAGTTAAATTCGCTGGTAAGCGGCTGAATTGCACCCAAATGCCTGTCGTTGGGCTGCCCTGTGTCGCCTTCCGCCTTGAAAATGAGGGGTTTCCTCTCCGGATTTATGTCCCTAGATGTCAACATCGTGGGGATTTACCTCCCTAGACTTCAACATCAGGGGGATTTACCTCCCTAGACATCAACATCGGGGGGAATTACATCCCTAGACTTCAACATCGTGGGGATTTACCTCCCTAGACATCAACATCGGGGGGAATTACATCCCTAGATGTCAACATTGGGGGGAATTATGTCCCTAGACGTCAACATTGGGGGGATTTACCTCCCCAGACGTCAACACTGGGGGGAATTATGTCCCTAGACATCAACACTGGGGGGAATTACGTCCCTAGATGTCAACATTGGGGGGAATTATGTCCCTAGACGTCAACATTGGGGGGATTTACCTCCCCAGACGTCAACATTGGGGGGATTTACTTCCCTAGACATCAACATCGAGGGGAATTATGTCCCTGGACGCCAACATCGTGGGGATTTACCTCCCTAGACATCAACATCGGGGGGAATTACATCCCTAGACGTCAACATTGGGGGGAATTATGTCCCTAGACGTCAACATTGGGGGGAATTACATCCCTAGACGTCAACATTGGGGGGAATTACGTCCCTAGACATCAACATCGGGGGAATTTATGTCCCTAGACGTCAACATCGAGGGATTTACATCCCTAAATGTCAACATCGGGGGCTCCTCGGTAGGAAACGGGCGTCTCCAAAGAGCAGGAGCCATGGATCTGAGGTGGATCCATAGCGGGGGGGGAGGATCCCACCTTTGGATTGCGTCTAGCTCTTAAAAGAATGGGTTTTTTTTAACGGCTTCGTTCCTAAGGAATCATATATCGCATGCGCTCGGTTGCGAATTTGGAGCGGCCGCCATCTCTGATCGCCTTTCCCTCTGCTCTCTCGGCTCAGGCAACGGGGACGTTCAGCTGATCAGCTGCGGCGCCGATAAAAGTATTTATTTCCGCAACGCTCAGAAGGTGAATTAGCGATGTCTTCATGAGGATCTGCTTGTTCTCCCCCCAAAAATTGACCAAGGTGGCTTTTCCCCCTGCCCCCCCCATCTCTCTACAGCTCCCAGATGGCTTCAATTTCGTTAGGACGCATCACGTCGCCGAGAAAACCACCCTGTATGACATGGACATCGACATCACGCAGAAATACGTCGCCGTTGCTTGTCAGGATAGAAACGTCAGGTGAAGGCGTTTTGCCGCGTCGGTATCGGGGGTCAATTTTCTCCTCCCGGCTCCGGTGTTGCCGGAGGGGCTCGTTGCCGGCTTGACCACCTCCCTCTCCTCTTGCAGGGTGTACAGCACGGCCAGTGGGAAGCAAAAATGCTGTTACAAGGGTTCACAAAGCGATGACGGCTCCTTGTTGAAGGCAAGAGGAGTGATTTCCACCACGCGTTGGCCCCCGGGGTGTCCGCAACGGCTGCCTTGGCGCCGGGTGGGGGCAGGAATTAGCGGCAGTGCCAAAGGGCTCGGGGCTGAGATGTTTGGTAGCCGAAAGGGTTGAGTTGCCATGGAGACATTGGCCAACGTGAACCTCGCGAGGCTCCACCAAGGCCCAGCGCAAGGAGATGGGGGG